AGGAGCCCAAATAAGGCAGAGAAGAAGCACAACAATAACATGAGCTTGGGTCTCTCGTTAAAGGGAAAAAAGAAGCGGTAAAAGATGAAGCTCAAATAAGACAGAGAAGATGAGAGAAGAAGAACAATAATAACAAGAGCTTGGGTCTCTTGTTAAAGGCTAGAAAAGAAGAGGGAAACAAAGAGAACGTTAATTCATCATTACGGTTTGCTCCATTCTCCTGCTCACAGATTTGTGGTTGTATCAAGGTTAGAAGGAGAAACTTGCAAAAAGATGAGAGAGAGAAAGTTAATTGCATAGTTATACCTTTCTTGTTGAGGGACAAAATCGCTTGGTATTTTTTGCAATTGGTATTTAAAAAACTGTATTTTTATTGGATAACAATTTCTTTTTATTTGATCTCTAATCTGGCCCTCAACTTTGGAATTGTTATTGCAAATTAAAATAGAGTGGAAACTATAATTCGGCACCTATCTCCACTAACATGTCATACTAAAAATATGGGCACAATTGATAACGGAAACGTTTATTTCCCTAATACAATGTAGTTCATGTGTACATAATACATAGACCGGCGGTCCACCATCTGGTAGAGGCGACCATTCGGCCTTTATTTTTCGTCAGCACATCAATATCACATAAGGTGGGAGTATGACAACACATGGAATGGTAGGTTTGTATACAGCATGCTATCCACACAACATGTGAGTTCCAGTGCTTGAGCCAGGCTCCGAATACTTCCGGTAGAATACTCGGGCTCACCACCCCACCGACCCTGAGTATCCCCGAGTTCGGTGTCTCACTCGAGGATCTTAAAAAAAAATAAAAAATAAAAACATAAAGAATCCCAACAAAATAAAGAATTTATTTGTGATATTTATGTTTCCTACCATTTTGGCAAAATTTGGAAAGTGATTTGACCAAAAATATTTATTTTTACCCTCCCCTTCTTTTTTGGAATTTTTTTTTTTTTTAAATACCCCCGTTACAAATTAAGTTTTTGAAAATCAAAATTTTCACTACTTATTTTTATATTCTCTCATTTTTCTCTAGTTTTCTTCAGACATGTCAATGTGTTCCCTCAAGACAATATTTGTTTACTTATTTATAATAAGAAGTGCGCAAAAAATTCATTAGGCAAATTTATCTTTAAAATACCTAAAGTAGAAGATCAAATATTTATTTTCCTTGTTCAATGCACGGGAACAAAAATATCTTAGATTGCTAAAGTTGCCTTTTTAATAGAGTAATTTAAAAGAGAAGAGATACAATGTAAATTCCCCTAAAATTTGTCGGGATTGGGTTTGAGGGACCAATTCCCATGCTAGTCATTGAACACTTTTTCTAGGCGTTTGATCCGCCCAATTTATGAACTTCAATTATTGAAAAAACAGGAGAATTCACTCATCATAAATAAAAAGAAAAATGATGGCATCCATATGATGTGGATGCTTGAAGTGGCGCACAAGTAACTTTTCTAGCATTTTTTATTAAAAAAAAAAAAGACTAGGATCACTTGTAATGTTTTATTTTTAATTTTTTATCCAATTCATATTAATATTAAATTTTGGCATCCACGACACTCAATTAGACGAATTTAAACAATATAAAAAACTAATTTGCAAAAATTACATTGACGAAGATAATCTTGAATGTTTCCGAGGTATTTTTGTTGACTTATTTTATACAAATTTTCACATTTGTTTAGGTGCAACTAAGTGCGGCACAAACCCCTTCAAAATTTCATGGAATTCCAATTAATAAGAAAAAATAAAGAAGTGTAAAGTAAAATATTATATTAACTAATGGAAATCCATGTTTTTCTTTTGAGCCATTGATCCGCATGATGTGGATGCCATACTCTCTAATAAAATAAAATAAATAAAGTAAAATAAAATAAAATTTTTGTTTTAGTTTTCAATTCCATTCAAATACACATGATTTTTACCGTAAAAATAGACATCCCATGCCTCACTAATGAATGAGTAGCATGTTAGTTTGACACATTACTATTCATATACATATGAACTTGTTTTAGCAGTAAAACATTTTGAAAATTTCTAAATTTTGTTATCAAATAAACCTAATAGAGCAAATAATGTTCACTAGAAAAAATTCAATTAAAAGATTTTCAAATTTTATTATTAAACATAAATAATGTTCATTTTTTACCATAGCTGGTAGTGACAACCAGAGATATAACACAAGATATCCGTTATATATGACCAACCCTATTACTTCGAAGTTTCAACAAAATGAAATGCACCACTTTCAACAAAACAAAACACTCTTTTCCTGGGTGTCGTCCATAGGTTTGGCGGGGTTTTCGAAAGCGTCTTTTCCGGTAGGTGGCGGGCGGGTGTCATTTTCCGATCATTTATTTCAGGTGGGCCCCCATTGGCACGTGGCAAAAGGAAAGGCTGGCTTCCACTTCCTAAGTGGAACCGCCAACTAAAAGACGGCTGATAAACTTGAGTTTGACGAGCGATGTTTAAGAAACAGTCATCTTGATTTTGGAATTTATAACAATTTCTTTGTGAAATAAAAAAACAAATAATTTTTTTAAAAAAGTATAGTAGACTATTTATCTTTGTTGGAAGGAGGTTATAATCAATCTTGGCCATTGGATGTGAAATTTAATGGCTGTATTTATATTCTATTGACCCAATTTAAATTTCAAAAAAAAAAAATTTGAACTTTGTGACATTTCCAAGCTATCATATTTCACATCGTATGGTTGTTAATAATTGTGACATCACTGTATCAAAGGTAAATAGTCTCATTATATACAATCCTAATCAAAGATCCCTCTTTTTATCTAGCTTTTTAGCATGATGTTCCATCATATGGCTTATCCCCATGTATGTATGGAATAATGTAAATTAGAATGGCCAATCAAGATTTGTGTAATCGATCCAAATAGTTAAAAAAAGGTTCTCATGATGATAATAAAATCGTAGTTGGTTGATAAACTAAAAACTTATTATTATTTTTGTTATGTTCCCAAAAACAAAAAATGGGGCAAAAGAAAGGCCCAAATAAAAATGAAACCCTAAAATTGAGTAAAAAGAAAAAATTAGCTTTGGATTTCACCAAAAATAATGGAATTAAATCAACGCGTACTTTTGGGTAAATATGTTAAAGGTGTGGTTTCTATAAGTTTGCAACTCTAACCAGTCCAATTAAGGTGCAATTCCAAATTTTATCATAACATGCAAGTTTGGTAAAAAACAATTCTTAGGATTATCTCAAAATCTATTTTTACATCTAATTACAAAATTTTAAATTTAAAAAATAGTTAAAATAAAGTAGATCTGTAAATATATGAAAATATTAAAAATGAATGGTCTAAATAATGTATTGCAGGATGCACTATTTTTGAGACTCAAATTTTTATTTTTTTTCATATTCATACATCTCGATGTCGAGATGATCAATTCGAGTTTTTTCAGCATTAAAACAACCTTTTTCGAAAAAATTTTGAGGTGCATCTTTGATTCTACATTTTAAGGTTGCAACCTTATATAAACTTTTTTCATATGTTAATCATGTTAACTTGCAATAAAAATAAAACACTTTAATTCACAAGGTAAGTAACCAGCTAATGAAGCAATGATAACATCGTAATCAATCCGCTTACATTGTAATCAATCCGACCAACTTGAAAAAAAAAACAATCTCAAAAAATAAAGTGGGCGTAAATTTTGAAAGCTTTTCTGAAGTTCATAATATATGGCACGCAAAATACTTATCATCTCCATCACCCATATCGACCAAGGATGGTGGAGATCAGTGTTTGACTACTCGATCCAAGTTTGCAGTACTCGGGCTTGGTTGGTGAGCTCGAATTTCCCTAAGTTGTGTATATCAAAAAGCAATTAAAAAATATTCATAAAAAAAATCCAAAAGGAATTTATTTGTGACATGTTTTTTTTTATGTTAGATTAAAAAATATTTTGACCATGAATACTTATTTTTACATTTTTCCAGCTTTTTTAATTATTTCAAAAATACCCTTAGTCACCTATTGATTTTTAAAAATCTATTTTTTATTATTTATAACCTCATTTTGATGTGTTTTGCTTAAAACTAGTTAAACATATAGTTTCTATTTTTTTGGATTTTGTATATATTTAAGAATTTTTCTAACCTTATTTTTTCTACAGTAGTACTCAAGCCGAGTACTTGGTTCGGGCCTGGGCCGAGTATTTGCACCGAGTGGTGGTTTCCAACACTGGTGGAGATGACATGTAAAATAAGGGTTGGTAGATAACATGTACCATCACACAGTTGCATGCATATGGTTTCAAACTTTAAGGGTTCACCAGAATAAAAAAAAGAAAAGAAGGTCATGACCCAAATAAAGGGTGTGGTTTGTATAGAGCCTAGGCTCTAAACAATCAAATTAGAGCCTACCTTCAAATAATGTCGAGAAATGTGGTTGTAATATTGAAAGTCTTTGTGATAGCTTTAAAATATATTTTTATATTTATTTATAAAGTTTAAAGCTTTAAAAATAGTGTAGATCTACAGATCTATGAAAACTTGAAAATCTTAAAAATTGACGGTCTAAAAATGTGTTATAAAATATACTATTTCCAAAACTTGAAATCTATTTTTATCTCATGTCCATGCATATTGATGTCGAGATGGTCGATTTGAAGATATTTGGGCATCAAAACAACCTCTTCTAGTGAAATTTTTGAGGTAGACTCAAATTTGATTGTTTAGAGCTTCGGTTCTATATAAACTTTTCCCCCAAATAAAAGGCTGCTTATTATTCTTTAGGAAAAGTGGCAGTCATAATCTTTCTCTCTTTACAAGAAGGGCAGCCTCCTTTGAAAAGGTGAATACCAACACCAGTTGACGAGCTGGAACTTAGACTAAACCCCCCTACTTGGACCCAATAATGCCCCCAAAAAGTGTGACCCAAATTATATACCCATTCCCCCCTTTAAAATTTCATACTAACTCACCTTTTCCCCAACTTATAAATACACAACTCTACTTCACTCCCTTCCTCAACTCAATATCACTACACAATGGCACTTCTTAGACTCTTCTTCCTCTCTCTTCTCACTATAGTCATGACCCTGGGTTCAGATATCCCTCCTTTGTCCCTCAAGCCCTCATCTTTGGTGGAAGGCCCTCTCTTGAAGTTGGCATACCACAAGGGACCCCTCCTCACTGGGGACATAAACCTCTATCTCTTGTGGTATGGCCAGTTCCCACTCTCTCAAAAATCCATCATCTTGGACTTCTTAGCCTCTCTTTCTTGCGAAACCCCGAATCCTCGGACTAACGCTTCGGTGCACTCGTGGTGGGCCACGCTAAGTTCCTACGAAGACTCTTTGGGCCACGGAATTCGCGGTTGCTTAACTGTTGTGAAGCAAGCGTACGATGAGGCATACACGCTGGGGAAGACGGTGAGGAGGATCGACCTAAAGGCCATTGTTCTAGGAGCAATTGCTAAGGGTACCTTCCCCTTAGACCCCAACAAAGGTATATACATAGTGTTAAGCTCTAGAGACATCGGTGTGGAGAGATTTTGCCTGAGTTCGTGTGGATTTCACGAGCCTTTGACGAGAACTAAGAGAGCGGAGGAGGCGATCGTAATGGGATGGGTCGGGGATTCGAGTACCCAATGTCCAGGCGAGTGTGCATGGCCTCTAGCTAAGGCACAGTATGGACCACACATGGAGCCCCTTAAAGCACCCAATGGTGACATAGGGGGAGATGGGATGGTTATGAACTTGGGTGTTATTTTGGCTGGAGCATTAAGCAACCCCTATGGCTCAGGATACTTTCAAGGCAATGCATTGGCTCCATTAGAGGCTGGGAGTGCTTGTGCTGGTGTCTTTGGATTGGGGGCTTACCCTGGTTATCCTGGTGTGCTTCTTAAGCATCCCAAGACTGGAGCTAGTTTCAATGCTTATGGTGTTAGGAATAGGACTTTCATATTGCCCGCCCTATGGGACCCCAAAACCCTTTCATGCAAAACCCCTTTAGCCTAGTAGTCTTTTATTGTAGGCATGGATGGGAAGAATAGTGCATAAATAGATAGATGATGAAAGGTGGTTTGCTTTAATGTTTCTTCTTTGTAATGAGATGGAAAATGCATAAAACCATGAGTTATCCTACAAGTATTAGTTACATAATAAATGCTAATTTGTGGTCTATTATTATTATGTATTGTAAAAATGACCAAAATATTATTCCCAATCTTTTTAATGTCTTGTAGTTATTTTCTTCATTCTAGAAATGGAAATGGAGAGAGTTCCAATGAAAAGGGAATAAATTGCCAAAATTCCCATACAAGCTCAAAAAAGGACAAAAAAAAAAAAAAAAAAGGGCTAAAAAAAAAGGTATGCATGATGTAAGGTTGCTTTTGTAAGAAAGAAACCCTAACACCTATGACCAATATGATGATGTTACAGTCCTTTCCATATAAATGTAATCTGGCCGTGTTTTCTTTATGGTACGGACCACAATTTTAAATTTTGTTTCCCCACATTTAGCCGAAAGATGATGTTGGTTCTTTCCTTTGCATTTGAATAACATTATATAGATCTATGTAGGATGGTCAAAAGATTCAAAACAAGAACTTTAGAACATCAACGTTTTAGCTTTTTTTTAATTAATTGGAGTCGACTACATAAATCATGGTTTTTCACTGTACTCTACTAAAAGCCAATGAGGCCATAAGTCCCATAGCTTTTCCGACAAAACAAGAACTCTAGATAAAAGAGAGAAATCAGGGTGGGGGCGTCACAATATGCCGTTTAGGCTTCTCCACTTAATTATCTAAAAAAAATGAAAAAAAGAAATCAGTCATGGAAAAATCAAGGTGGGCAGATTAGGGAATTGTGCTCCCTAGTGAACATCTACAGTCCAACTATACTTGGATGTTGGAGATTGACCCCTGTATGCAGAGTGTGAATGCTCCCCAGCGAGAGCAAGTATCTCTTAAGCTAAGATAAATACTAAATTCCACTTGATTTACCCAGTTTTGTTGAGTCAGTTAAAAACAACTTTATGCAAATATGCATTGCGAAGGTCAGTTTGGATTCAGGACTATTGTTTAAGACAATTCCATCTTAGTGACAATTATGTGCCAAAAATGATCATCACGCACATTTTGTACGTATAATAATCTTGAATAAAACACTTTTAGCTACCTGCAAAAAAATAATGATCAAGACCCAGTTTAAAGGAAGATTTACTATCGTATGATGTTGTTCACTTCCCTACCCATTCACCAGTAAAAAGATGAATTGCTTGGTATGCTCCGATCCGCTATTCATATATACCCGCTCTCCACCGCCGCACTTTTTTCAAATTTCAGCAAAATGCTAAGAAAGAAAGTGGAAATGATCTCATTCCTAATTAATCACAATCTTAATAGAATCATAGGAGCATCCAAACAGCCTTTAGGGCTTCCAAAGCCATAACAAGTAATAAAATATAAAAATTGGAGGATTGAGTAATAATCGAGTCTCTTATGAAGTCAACATTGACATCTCACCATTTATCTTCACAAAATTTACCCAAATGTCAAGATTTTCATTGGTTAAATCTTGATTTCTTGGGTTACAGGGATAAATTTTTCTGAAGTGCCATGTCTGTTATAATTGAATGTTAAGTGCCATGTCTATTAAGTATTTGGTTTTTGTGTAGAGTTGTGACTCTTGAAAGTGTCTCCCTACTGGAAATGTGTAATCCATTGACTATTATAAAATAGGTACTCAAGCATATTGCAAAGTGAATGAGTTCAATCCATTGCAAAGTTTTGCTCAACTTACTCTTGCCTTCTGCATCAAGCATCCATCTTCTATTCTAGATACATAAAAAATGGTGGTCCTATCAAAATATACCATATGTATTTTTAAAATTTTAGTATCCATTTTCATGTTGACCAACATTGAGATTCTCAACCCTGGATCCAAAGTCCATCTCTAAAATTTGTTCCAAATAAAGTTAGTTATCTTACGTTTTAAACATAAAATAAGATAATCTATTCCAAATGAAACTAATTATCAATTAAAAAAGCCCTAATTAGTTTTCCTTGGTAGTATATTGGTTCGGTTTAATTATATCCTCAAAATTACAAATACATAAAATGTTAAGAGTAATTTATGCATGTGTTAAATTCGAACCTATTGATTACCAACATTGATCGGCTGGAGCCTTCTCAAGCAAAACATGAATCAGTGGGGTGGTCCACCCTAGATCTGTGTTTGATCACTAATCCAAATCGGTTCGCACTAGTGATCTAGAAAAATATTAAGAGATAAGAAAACTAAAATGTAAGTTAAGGATGGGGTAAAGATCTAGAGAAACGTAAAAAAATATTAGATAAACTTAAAAGAATTTGAATTAAAAATATAAAAGAGTAGGAGGGGAGGAGGGACGGACGGGGCTGGTGCTGATACTTTTCTAAAATCGATTCATTCTTAGCCGATTCCTGATCTGGATTGGCTATTCTTGATCTAAATCGCTAGGCTTTGAAATATTGATTTTGACTTCAAAATTGTAGTATTGAATGGTATATTAGTGTTTACAGCCTCCTTGGTGATTAGCATTTTTAGATACGGCTTAGACTCTGAACTTATTTGAAGCTCTTGTCTTTTTTTTCTTCCAACAAGGATGAAGCTTGCTGTTTTATTATTTATTTATTTGTTTATTTATTTTTGATAATTCAATAGGGGACGATGAGCCCTACTGTTATCGTCTCCCATAAGCGCAGATGCTTCTTTCTGCGTGCCAACTGCCAAGGAAACAAAAGACGTGGACAAAAGCAGGCCCTCCGATCTTATCCTTATCCTACCACAAGCCACCACGCTCATAGCACGTCAACACTTTCATACCTCACACGTGAGATAACTGCCTGACGTGTCATACAACCCAACATCTACGTGGAGTGTCTTCGTCGGACAAACAACACACGTCACCGTCCTTTTTTAATGTGACCATAATACCCCAACAACCACGCCGAATTTGTTCCATAAACGGTACGACTGAAAGGCCCGGCACTAACCTTAGCAAAGTAGGCCGCTTCGGCAAACTGTAGTGTGACGGTCGCGCTAGATCCAGTGTCAGGGACCGACCCGGCTCTCTTTTACTTCCTTAATTTTTCTTTTATTTTCCCTCATTTGCTTTTTTGCACGGTCTGACCCGACCCATTCCTGACAGGCCTAGAGCGGGACCGGAATGGCCATAAGCCAGGGCAAAGGCTGCGCAGCCCGTTACCACCCTTAATAAATGGCCATAAGCCGTCTTGATTATACCTTATTCTAAACGATATGGTACTAAACACCATTGCTAATGTAGAAAGCTTTCCCACACCATAGTCTTGAGAGTAGGACGTTTTCTTCGAAAACGTTTTGTGCATACGTATGCTATTATTTACTATAAATTTGGTCACATCCACGCACTCGCCCTCTCTAGACTGCCAAATCACACACACACTCTGTCCTCCCTCTTCATGTCTCTCTCTCCTCAGATGGCGCATTCTCTGAACCACTGTTTCCTACTCTCTCTGCTATTGTTTTCTTTCCCCACAGTCCTCTCTCTCCCCAGAAAGCCACTATTTCTGGTCCCCACAGCCTCACCGGTTCTCGAATACCACCGTGGTCCACTTCTCACAAATCCTATCAACGTCTACATCCTCTACTATGGCCACTTTCACCTTTCTCGGAAATATGCCATAGCCGACTTCTTCGCCTCCTTTCTCTCTCCAAACACTGCAACCCCCTCTGTCCAAACCTGGTGGAGAACCGCCCTCTCCTATACCGACCTCTCCCGCAGACCAGTTTCCAACAACGTCTCCCTTGCCGGAATGGCTTCTGACCTGGCCTGCTCAGCTGGAAAGACCCTGACCCGCAACCAACTACCTCTCCTCATCAAAGCGGCCATGAGAAAACAAACGCTGCCAATGGATCCCTCTGGCCTTTACCTCATTCTCACATCCGACGATACAATAGTCGAACGGTTTTGCATGAGCTCGTGCGGGACCCATGGGGCCCTACTTCTGCCCAGACCCGGTCCAAAAACGGGTGTGGATAAAACTGGCGGCAGAGCGGTTTGGGCTTGGGTTGGCGACCCGAGTAAGCAGTGCCCTGGGTTGTGTGCATGGCCTTACGCCAAGCCTTTGTGGGGCCCTCCAAGTGTTCTCATGGCACCAGGTGGCGATGTGGGATTGGCTGGGATGGTGATCAACGTGGCAACCATGCTTGTGGGATCCGCCACAAATCCCTACGGTGACGGGTTCTATGAGGGGGACCCACTTGTTCCCGTGGAGGCGAGTACGGCCTGCCCGGGTTTATACGGAAAAGATGGATTTGCCGGGTACCCTGGGACCCTCTTGGTGGACCCCACTACCAATGCCAGCTTCAATGCCTACGGGGTTGGGTCCCACATCTTCCTGTTACCCGCCATATGGGACCCACTCACACGCAAGTGCAAAGCCAACGTCTAAAACTATTATATAAAGACCCTAGTAACTACTTGATCATACACAACCGCTGTGCAGAGAGTATGGTACAGTAGGTGTATTCACAGACTTCAGAGGACGAACGGTGGGGATCAACTGTAAATGAAGGTCTGGCACCATGGGGAAGGGGCAGTGGATATAACGGTGGTGTATCATATGGCTAGTGTTCCTCTGATCATTTATGCTTCCAATTGGTGATATGTGTTTGTTATTTTTATTACTAGTTAAGCATGATTCAGAAAATTTTAATCCAAAAAAACAGAAATGAATCATAGTGGCCTCATATGCAATACAGTACTGTCGAATTTCACACACGCAGGAAAATCACAACCATCATGAGCGAACTCGATGAAATGCATGTGCAACTTACATACATGAATACAATAGTTTGGTTTGAGGACCTTAAACTTTCCTTCAATACGGGTATAGAGATTCGAATAACCGATCTCAAATAGTTGGAAAAAGTCTCTGATGACGATGATGAAAATCACTTCAGCAAGCATTACACTTCTGACATACATGCATAAATTCAAACAAATAAAAATGAGGCATAAACCTGCATGAACAGGGTCAGAGAATTCATAGATGGTAGTCAACCTTAATTCAAGATTAATTCAAAAAACATATCCTTCAAAATGTTTAACGACACGGTTAATTAGGTTCAGTTCCCAAAAAGAGTTTAGGTTTCATTTAGCCATTGTTAGCATTCTATATATGATAAAAAAATCCCTGACTGAATGTTTAAATTGACTTCCTCATTAAAGACCGCCCACCCAAGCAGTGGAATGGCATATCCATAGATCTGTACGCCTTAACAACACTATCACGTTGTTTTGTGCCGGCTCATATGGTCGGCTTCAAATTGACGCCGGAGCTGCAACGACTGGTTGTAAAGGTTGAGGTCTAAGCCATCCACATTCCTTCCAACTCGTGCCTGCAAAATAGCCTAAAAAATGGGAGACATAAATATTGGTTAGTGAAAGACGGTTTGGAGATTGCTGGAATGTTACGCGGCAAATTCTGGAGATGAGTTTCGTGAGAAAGTTTTTGCACCACTAGAAAGTTAGCTCCGCCATCCTCAGAGGCTTTGGGATGAAAGAATGTCATTCGAGCAATTAAAGATGTTAGAGAGAGAAAGACGAGGGCGTTTAGGATTACATCATAGTAACTGCACAAATTCTGGACATGGGTTTGGTAAGATAAGTCTTGGGGACTGATAGAAAATCACTTTGGGCAAATTTTTTAACCAGTTACTCATTGAAAGCCTGGTGAAATTCCGGAGATGGGTTAGTGAGAGGAAGAGCACTGACATTGTTATCTGGCTGGATGACCAATTCTCCGATGAATTGGTAGAATGAGCCCAGACGAAAGTGGACATCCCTGAGATGCTGGGTGTCTATCCTTAGGCTCACATTTCCATCCACTATCACGGCAACTGCAGTGTCCACACAGTATTCCTGCAACCTGAAGATTGATGCAACAAAATTGAATGAATAATAACTAATCTGAAGATCTATCACATTTTCCAGGAGATCTACTTTTCGATTTCTTATCATGAATCTTAAATTGCACTTCACATGACCCCTACACTAAAGACTGCTTTATCCCTAAGCATCACTATTGCTCATTATGATTTGGTCGACAGGACTCACCAACCCTTTGAAGGTTTGGTGAGGTAAACCATCAAAGAATGGTTCACTTAAATCATGACCCAACAATCTCGTCTATTCAAGCGTTCTAGCTTACATGGTAGTACTAAAGCTTCGGATTTGCTGAAGCATTTTAGACATGGTAGCAGTCATCAATTTAATGAAAAGTACAACCAATAACAAAATTACAAGAAGAAATCAGAAACCACCACATTATCCATAAAAGCGCCTCGTTTAGCAAGCCCATCTGCCACCTCATTGGCTTCTCTATAAACATGAACAAAAGACACAAACCAAGGAAAAAAGTCCAAAACCTGCAACATTGTGATCTCAAGGGCCAAGGTGGAGAAGACACCTTATTGCACCAATTTTCCACATTAAGCAAATCCCCTTCAAAGATAAAAAAGCCACCAAGTTGTTGATCCTTTAAGATCTTAATCCCATGTAGCAGAGCAGCTAATACAGCATGATTTGTTGATGTAAAACCACATGGCTCCGCAAAAGCTAAAAATAACATTACTCAAACTATCTCGGCAAACTCCACAAATGCCTGCCCTTCCTAAATTCCCCAAAGACGATCCATCAGAATTCAGCTTGTGACACCCAACCATAGGAGGCTGCCACTTACATTTCGGTCTCACCTTAAGGACCTTAAAAGTCATCAGATTGGCTAAATTTAATACTATATCCATCTTAGAGACTCCTCTTCCTTCTTTTGTGACGATAAACCAACTCCATGCATCCGATAAAACCCTATCTTTAACTTCTTGTAGCTTCAAGGAGTTCCCTTCAAAAGTTCTACCAATTCTTTCCACCCATAACTCCCAAATGAGAGCAGCTCAAAAAAAAACACAAATGATACAACCAATCTTTGGTATTCTGATTAACTTTAGACAATTCATAATCTCTATATGAGAACTTGGACCTACCAAAGGCATACCAATCTTATAGAGTGCCCAACTCCAAATGCTTGAGGAAGAAGGGCAATGGAGGAATAGGTGATCTCTATTCTTCTCATCATTTTTACAAAAAAGATACACATTAACCACAATTTTATGCCTTCCTAAGATTCTCCACTATGAGTGCCTTATTTTGCTGCATAATCCAAACAAAAGCCTGCACTTTATGCGGTGCTTTACATTACCAGATATCATTCAACTTGGGACAACTGCACCTAAAGCGATCATGAAATAGAGAGTAATTGGCTGATATCACTACAAAACAGCCACTTGTCTCCAACTCCCAAAGTCATAAATCATCAGCAAAATTAGAAACATGGATATCATTCAAAGTTGATAGCAACACAGTGAACTGTTCAATTGCAGCCTAGGGTATAGAAAATCGGCAATAAGCACCTTGACACAAGCAATTTTGGAGAATCCCTAAAGCTTTCTCCCACCTAGGGCTCAAGCCTTAGGCTTCTTTTACAAGACTTAGTCTTTCTTTTCTTAAAGAGGAATATATTAATGACTCTCCAACGCATCCATGCCATTATTTATAATGAAGATTTATTGTTTTGGATAATATTTGTCCATACAATTAAATTTTGACCAAAAGGTCCTAACTTATGTATAACTTGAAACTAAACTCCCCAACTTTAATTAAAATAACTAAAAAGTCCCTAATTGGTCCAGCAATGAAATAAAATAAAATAAAGATTTGAAATAGCCTAAAACAAACTAAAAAAACACCCAAACTATTTCTTGATCTTCTTATTCTTCTTGGAAGCTCTCTTAGGGTTTTCATCCTCCAAATATGAGCAAATATTAGAAAGAATATGTCACTCCAAAAGAAAATACTCGTGGCTACTTGTTGTGCTTAGATCTCCATCATTCTCCCAGGGTTGAGGAGAAATCACCCTCGAGTTCACATCTTCATCTTCATTCACCTCCAAACCATGATACTTTGACAGATCAGCGTTGAAGATATCTAAAGTCTCCATGTGTGAAGGAAAAGTGACCTTGTAAGCATTGCTGCCCATCTGCTTCAAAATCTTGAATGGTCCTGCCTTGCGATCATTCAGCTTGCTATATTTTCCCACTGGATGTCGTTCCTACCTGAGATACGCCATTACTCAGTCTCCCACATTAAACTCCTTGAAACGGTGATGCTTGTTCGCTACTACCTTGTATTTGGCTGTATTGGCTTCTAGACTAGCACGCACTTATTCATTTACTCCTTTCATTTGTTCAACCAAGTCCTCAACAATAGCATGACCCTCCCCATTGGCCTAGAAAGGAACCAAGTGAAGCAAATGAGTAGGGTTTTTTCCATATACCACCTCGAAAGGACTCTTACCAGTAGATTTATTGCAAACACTATTATAGACAAAAACGCTAGGTCCCACTGTTCTTTTCCCTCACAATACTTCTCAAAAGATTGCCAAGAGTACGGTTTACAACTTCAGTATGGCCATCTGTCAGCGGATGATAAGCACTACTAAATTGTAACCGAGTGCCCAATTTCTTCCACAAAGTTCGTCAAAAATGGCTGAGAAACTTCGTATTCCATTATGAAGTTAACGTCTTTAGAACATCATGCAGTCACCACCTCTTTGAAGTATAAGTTAGCAACATGTGTGCCATCCAGAGTCTTCTTGCAAGGTATAAAATGAGCCATCTTTGAGAATTTATCCACCACCACGAATATAGAATTCATACCTCTTCGAGTCCGTAGAAGTCCCAAAACAAAATCCATGCTAACATCCTCCCAAGGTGCATTGGGAATAGGAAGTGGAGAATAAAGCCCGGTATTATGTCATTGCCCCTTAGCCACTTGACATGTACGACACCTCTCAACGAACCACACAACATCTCTCTTAATTTTTGGCTAGGAGTACTTAGGCTCCACCAATACTATCATTTTGTCTTGACCAAAATGTCCACCAAGACCTCCCCCATGAAGCTCTGCTATTAGGGCTTCTCTAAGGGAACCTGCAGGAATACAAAGACAATTTCCTTTGAAGAGAAATCCATCTTGAATAAGAAAATCCCCAACAACTCTACTGCAACACTGGTACCATATCTCGTTGAAGTCGTCATCATCTGCATAAAGATCCTTCATAAACTCGAACCCAGTGATAGCAATCGCCATGGTAGGTAATAGCGTCAACCTTCTACTCAAAGCATCTGCTACTCTGTTTTGAGCCTTGTGCTGAATAACAAAAGGGAACTCCTGCAAATAAGCTACCCATCAAGCATGTCACTGATTTAGTTTATGTTGCGCATTAATATACTTCAACGCTTCATGATCTGAGAACAAAATAAATTCCTTCTGAATTAGTTAATGCCGCTTATGCCTCAAGGCTTGACTAATAGCACAAAACTCCACATCATAAGTAGAACTGTGTCGGTGGGTGTCATTCAACTTCTCACTGAAGAAGGCAATAGGGCGACCTTCTTGGCTCAACACTGCACCAATTTCAACATGTGGCTACTTGTTGTGCTTAGATCTCCATCAGGTCCCCTATTATGCGAGCAACAAATGTTTCAAGAGAAAAAACAAACCTGATCTCTTAATGACTTCACTCACCTTTACCATGGGATTAGCCGACGTCCAAAAAATATCAAGGAATGAAAATATAAAAGCAACAATGCCAACACATTTGTGATGCAAAAATAGTTTCTTATCTCCCATCCCAACTCCCCATCTAGAGTGCCTCTTCACAAACAAACGAGTAGATAATATGCCTGTCCAAAGATGCGATTTTTCAGAACCACTTGCTAAAAGACTTGTTGTAGGCTCCAAATCATAAACTATTAGAATATCACGCCACAGATGATCCTCATTTTCCATAGATCTCCACCACCACTTAGAAATCAAAGCTGAAGTTTGATTAACAAACTTCAGCTTCCTAATCCCCAAACCACCTTCTTTTTTAGGAGTGCAAACCGTTTCCCATGTAACCAAAGGGTATTTTTTACCTTGTCATTTGAGCCCCATAAAAAGTTCCTGATCAACTGCTCTAGGCATAATGAACATAGACATTGGAAGGTTGGATAGAGATGATTGGATGATAGTGATCCTACAACTTAGAGATAAATGTTTCGCCTTCCACTAGTCCAATTTTATATGCATTCTCTTAACAACATGATCCTACACTTCCTTTGGTAACCTGGAATCAGAAATAGGCATCCCAAGATATTTTATTGGAAAACTCTCCACATTACATCCCAACAAGCTAGCCAATTGATTTACCATGGACACCATGGACTCATTATAGCTGACCCCAATCATCGACGTCTTTCCAAAATTTACTTTCAAACCCCCAACCAATTCGTAGCACCTTAAAAACCTTCTAATTTTCAGAATTTGATTCACTTCAGCACCACAAAAAATAATTATATCATCAGCGTATTGTAGATGAGAAATACAAGGTACCTCAGGGCTTAGCTGAAAGCCTTGGAAACCCTGCCTATTCTCCACATTCCTTAGCATCAAACTAAAGGTCTCCCCAACAAAAGTAAATAGAAAAGGAGAAAGTCGATCTCATCGTCTAAAACCTCTTGAAGAACCTTTCAGCGATCCATTCACCAAAATAGAGAAATAAACACCCCATGATCCATTTCCTCCAATTATCACCAAAACACATTCGAAATAAAAGTCCGTCAAATACCTTCTATTCCGCTCGATTATAAGCCTTCTCCATATCAAGCTTAATGACAATCCCTCGCACTCCCACTCAAACTACGAGTATGAATACACTCTTGGGCAATCAAGACTCCGTCCATAATCAATCTTCCACTAATAAATGTTGACCGAGTATCCTAAACCAAGAGATGTAAGACTTAACTTTAATCTTTCTGCCAAAATTTT